CACAACGCCCGGCTATTTTTTGGTTGCAGCCATCATTGTTGTTTGGCAGGCCCGGGCTGGGAATTCGAACCTGCCACCTTAGGTGTATGTGGCTGGCACCCCAGCCGCTTGAGCCACAGGCGCCAAGCCAACTTTTGCTCTCTTAAGGACACTATTAAGAAGAAGAAAAGTCATAGGGAGAATGTGTTTGCTAAATGAACATCTGATAAACAAATTGTATGCCTAATATATAAAGAACTCTCTAAATTCTTAAACAATGGAAAACAATGGACAAAATTTTGAAATGACACTTCATTAAAGAAAATATTCAGATCACAGTTGAGGACTTGAAAAAAATTAGTCATTAGGGAAATGCAAATTAGAACCAAACGTCCATAACCACTTTTTAACATAGCTAAAATTAAAGTGATACTAAATATTGGCAAGATGTATAGGAGTTCTCATGCAGTACACTACGGTGGGAATATAAAATGGCACAACTTTGGGCAGGAGTTTAGCAGTTTCTTAAAAATGTAAATATATACTTACCATATGACCCAGCTATTCTACTTCTGGCTATTTACCCAAAGAGAAAGAAATCATATGTTTGTACAAATACTTCTGCAAAAATATTAATAACAGCTTTATTTGTAATTGCCCCACAATGGAAACAACCCAAATGTCCACCAAGTGGTGAGTGGATAACTATGGTATATACACTTAAGGGAATCCTACTCAGCCATAAAAACAAACTATTAATGCATGCATGCCTCAACACATACAGTGAAAGAAGCCACACATTGTATGATTCCATTTATATAGAAATAGAACGCTGATGAGTGGTTGCTTTGAGTTAGGAATGAGAACAGAGAGGAATTGCAAACAGACTTGAGAGAATTGGGGGCTTATTGGAAAAGTTCTAAAACTAGAATTTGGTGATAGATGCATAATAACATTAAAATTTTCTAAAACAAAACAGTAACTAAAAAGTCGACATTGAATTGTGGGGCAGAGAAGAAAAGTAGTTTTGTCTGGGGTGGGGGTTCTGGATGCTCCTGGGTAGACACACAGTGTAGAGTTCCTGGCCTAGCAAGTTGACATGCTGTGACTCAGGTTACCCAGAGAGACAAAACTCATCCCAGCCCCATATCTGCTTTGGTTTTCTGCTGATAAGAGTCAGAGCCCCCAGGAGAAGAGGTATTTGCCTGGTAAACTGTACTGAATTCCTGGTGTGCCTGGAAACTGTGCTCAGAGAATGTCTTAGAAATTTTCCCTGTTTACTTTACCCTGTGTTAGTCTATAGGTTTTTTTTTTTTTTTTTTAGAGACA